GTTTGGGGTCCAGGGTTTAGAGTTTAGGGATTGGGGTTTAAGGCTTTTGCACGCCTCTTAGACGCCTGCATGAGGGTAAAGAGCCAGAAGGCCCCCAGACAAAGCCTCTGTCCACTCCAGCAAACTTACCTTACTCCTGAGCCATACCAGCAGTCACGGTATCTACCTCCAAAAGCAGCTTGAATCAGTTTAGGGTTCAAAGTACGGGATTAGGGTTTAGGGTTTGGGTTTAGGATATTCTCGATAAATGAGGGGATCCCCAAATCGAGCCAATATAGAATCCTTATTATGTCCCCCAGAACAAATACCCCTTATTTTGGGGAAGCCCCATATAGTGTCCTTTGTGCCCGTGGGCTTGGACACCTGGCCCTTAAACTAGGGTAGGTTTGGGGACCCGATAAGCATTAAATGCTATGGGGACTAAAAATAACAGAAAAACAGTAAAATTGTCAAACCTACCCCTGTAAAGAGTGTATTTGAAACCCAAGAGCCAGGGGTGCGAACCGGGTACAAACTTACGAAATGTTGTTGAATCTTGGATACTTGCCCGCCCTGTAACGATCATATATACATATATATATAATATAAGACCTTTGCCAATCATCGAATATTAAATTACAACAATGACATTCTTGGGACTGTTGTAGGGTGGGGGCAGTATCCTATTTGAATCGGAGGCCTGGTTTCCCTTTGGGTGGAGGTTGCGGTTTCTGGAGGAGAAGGTGATGGCTTCGCGCACTTGTTTCTGGAGGCCAGTCATGTTGAGCAATGCCCTTGAAGAGAATGGACGATGTACATGATCGATAGCCACTTGCAAGGATAGCATGTTGCATAGCACCATCCTCTTGCCGCCGTAATCATCATCTTCATCTTCAGCAGCAAGTACACCGGAACAGAAACGAAACAAACAAATAGTTAGGGTATAATGTAATATAGCACAGTATATAGCATAAAATATATAGTATGATATAGTATAATCATAGTTCATAGTCTATCGGCCTATCACACCAAAAACACACACACACACACACACACACACACGCGCACACACACACACACACACGCACACACACACACAGACAACACACTACCGCTACAGCTTTGATTGCTCGAAGCGGCAAAGGGAGAGGCAAGCGTGCTTTCGCCGCAGGCGCTGGCTGCGGTGCCGGGGCAGGCTGCGCAAACCTCTGCACATGCATAGTAACACGAATTATCAAACAGGCGATTGTGCGCAGAGTCTATGCAGATTGCCAGAACTATAACTTGCGTGCTAGAGTGGAACTGAATTGCTGACATGGATGTTTTTTTTCAAGCTTGACATTTCTGTTTTAGGAACCTGTCTTGTGGAGTTCTCATACTAAGGCCTTCCAGTATTTTTGCGTTTCTGGCCATTCTATAATAGGTTCAGCACCTGAAATTGAACCCAATTGGGACTATTCTCTATGTCGATTACCCCCAACCATAATCCGAAACCTAAACCCAACACCGCCAACACCGCCGCTTCTTTAATTTCCCCAGGCTTTGGTATGCTGCCCGCGCTGAGGAGATGGCTGGAAGCAGGCGCACTGCCCGAGCCGCTCCCGGAGAGCTGCGAAAAATCCAGCCATCACCAGACAACTCAGACCCCAATGAGATCCGAAAATTCGAAGTTCTGGAAGAATTCAGAACATGATTAGACAGCTCTTATTGCAGCCCTAGATTGTGGGCCGAGGCTTGTTTGATCGTCCCAGAGGTTTTGCGGATTCGCCTGGAACAGCATTTGGGGATTTCCCATTTTGGGGCACACGAGCCATGTCCATTTCTCAATTTTAATTCCCCTACCATGCCGCCAAGTAGAACGGACAATTATTGTGGAGAGGCTTCAGTGCGATCGCTGATACGCATGGATTGAGATGGTGATGATTTGTTGGGAAGGCACGCGTCACCTTTGCAGCCACTCCCTGTGTGAAAGATGTAATAAAACTAGTCTTCTTCTGGGTACAGTGTGCATGCCATCTGCTTTGTTTTCGATTAACTTCGCTGACTGAGGGGATCTCCATTGCTGAGAGCCAAGCTGACGTCAACACTGATGAGGACGGCTTTAGGGCTTATTTAGTTACATAGGGTTATATAGGGAGCTATGTAGTTTATAGAGGGTTATATAGTATGGAGTTATATAGGGTTACATAGTGTCATGATGAAGATTGGACAGGTCAACCAAAACGCTGCTTCTTCGAGCAGCCGTGGATGCCGATTCCTTGTCTTGTTTAGTACTTTGCGCTCCTACGTAGTTCGGAGATCAAGAGTCTGCAAGGACCATCAAGTCTACCTCATAGAGCAACTGAAACGGACTGCTTTTTGCACGTCACGGAACTCTGCAAACTCTCCAGGCTAGGATGTGCAGTGCGCGCCGTACCTGATGTGCCGCTCAAGCCACCCGAGGCCTAAACCCTTAACCCTAAATCCTAAACCCAAAATCGCAACTTAACTTAGCTGTGGATCACACATGGGGCCCCACGAGCTAAGTACTTTGCAGACAGTCGGATACATTAGCTTCTGAAACGGCAAAGGGGGGGTGAAGCAGAGGGATCCAACAGCGTTTTCTAGTTTTCCAGTGAGAGCCTAGGCTTCTGAAAATTGATGATTTTGCCAGCAAACGCGGTTTAGCGAGGTTTAGGCTTTAGGGTTCTGTGCCCTCGTCCGAATCGTCAGCGCTTGAATTTTTGCAGTTTCCATAAATAAGGGAAAACCCAAAGGAGACCCCAAACTAGGGTTTAGGGTTTTGGGTTATGGGTTTAGTATGGGGATCGGCAGGGACCGCTAATTTATGGAAACCCGTATTTGAGCCTGTCGACTAGGAGATTTCCCTAAATAGGGCACCCCAATACAGGCCCCCATATATTTTACAATCCTTATTACTGGGACCCCCAAAAAGGTAGCCCTAAACTTGGGAAACCCTAAAACCCTATATATCCCAATATAAACCCTGCATAATCCCTGATAAACGCCCTTAAACACAGCCCTAAATTTCGGAAAACCCAAACCCTAAACCCT